CCAGCATCTTCTCATCTGATTTTGCTGTTCAATCCTCTTTTTAGAGAATATTTAATATTCCTACTGTAGAGTTGAGTGTTTGTGTCAAAGAGAGTTGAAATAAATTTTTAAAAGTCACACAGATGAAAAATGGGTGAACCAAAATTTTGTTCTAGGAAGTCTGACTCAAGGACTCAATTTCTAACTCATACGCTCATGCTATAATTTGGAGCTGCATATGTCTAACATAATTATCACATAAAAGGAGTACAATAATAGCATTAACAGTAGGTAAGTTGTTTATTGAAATCTCACTATATAAAAAGGCATATCAAATTTGTTTGCTTTGAAAAATTCACATAGTTAGGAGAATAAAACCAGTGAGAAGATGATGAGACTTATTGATAATTGTTTTAAATGCTGGTAAGTGATTCACATTTAAAATGGACACAGACTACCCCTTGTATCGGTGAATCAGTGTTATGAGAAACTCTCCTGGAGAGTGAAGGACGTCCATCCAAGCGTGATATTATAGAGGGGTCACTTCTGGAGTAGCCTGCATGCTGTGTTTTGAACTCAGCATGTGTCTTTTTCTTAAGCAGAAAAATGAGTGACTTGGAAGCAGAAAACCACACAGGACTATTGGAATATGTCCCCCTGGGCCTCTTTGATGATGCACAACTATGGCCCTTTTGCTTTGGACTCTCCCTGTCCATGTACCTGGTCACGCTGCTTGGGAACCTGCTCATCTTCCTGTCAGTTATGACTCTGGCTTCCTGTGTGGATATTTTCACATGTTTATTAGTATGGGCACAGATCTCCAGTCTAGGGCAGACTGTGCATATAATGCTCCCAGAACATTATTGCACTTTGTGGTGTCATTGTCACACTCGTTTGTGTAGCTGCACTCTGATGTTTGCACAGCGTTGATATGCCTAAAGATGCATTTGACAGTTGTCCAGCAGGGCATGGCTGTGATACTTTCAATACTTTAGTTAATACATCTAGGAATAGAATTGCTTGATATTATGGTAATTGTGTTTAACATTTTGAGCAATAGCCAAACTGTGTTTTGTGGTCCCTGCCACATTAAATGTTCTCACCACAAAAATGGTAACTGTATAAGGTAATGCTACATTATTATTTAACAGTTCCATGGTGTATATGTACCTCAAAACATCACTTTGAACGTAACAAATATATAACACTTTATCTGTCAATTCAACAAAATAAATATGTAAACTGCAAAATTAAGACAAAATGGAAAAAGAAAAAGGATCTCTTTGTCTCCTAACATCATGTACTCTAAAAGATCCAAAAAATCTGCAAAGCTATTTCAAGGGAGACATATCATAGAGGGATGCTTCTTGGGATGTGTCCTCTTAGGCATTAAACTTTCCTTAGTAGATTACCTTGTAGCTTTTCAATCAAATCAAAGAGAAAAGAGTTTCTACTTGAAGGAATTATATTCATCTCCCTCTACTGATGCCTATGCAAACACAAATTTTATGGAAACGTTCCATTCTACTATCTTCTCTTCACACAGAGGGACATGGATTGTTGGAAGAGATGTAGGACTATTACATAATTTAATTAATGAGGAGCTCTGGGAATTCAATCCTTGAGACAGCGGAAACTGTAAACATGCTCCCGTTGCCCCTCACCTCTAATTCTCTGATACCAGCCTCCATGAAAATTCAGTGGTCTTCCTGGGGACAGATCATGGAGAGGAGACAGCCTCAGTGACAACCATCAGAGAGAGCTGGTGTGCCTCAGAGAAGCTTTGTTTCCAGACCTCTCTTTCTCAGCTTTTATTCAGTTTCCTTCTCTCCTCTTTGGAATCTAGAGCATTTCTCTTGAGAATTGTTCTCTGGAGAGTTTTCAACTCTTCTCCACTCTACTAGAAATTGTAGGCTCCTGTCAGATTTCCTGCACCCAGTTATTTATTTGTTATCTTCTCATCAAACATTTATTATGCATGAGGTAATGTTTTGTTTTAAATTTGAACTTTTGTTATATTTCTATTTTTCCTGAAAGATTCCATTTGCTTGTAGCCCTTACTTCATTATTGTTGTTATCATCTCACCTTCCTGCCTACGATAACATCTACAAACAACAGTTATTTCTGAGGTTCAATCCTCGATCTAATTTACTTTCTTCACATTACCATTCCCTTTAAATGTTCAGGAAAATAGCAAATGATTTAAATCTCTTGTCATGTTCATGAATTTAACACAAATACTCTAGTGTTTTAATACAAGCTCTCCTGCTGCCTGTGGTTCACAAACAAACATTCTTTATTGGGTTAGAAAGGTATCCTTGATTTCCTTGTTTGCTGACAGCCTCATCCCTGGCATCTAAACACAGTAGTGGATATTAAATTTTCCCAAATTCATCTTTTCTTTTGTTCTTATGGTTAAATGTATCTTCATTGTCCTGTTTCTGTGATTAATCGTGTTACAAACACCCGATGTCAAACTGGCTTCCATTTCTAGAACTGATGTCAATTGCTCATGGTGTGCTATTCTTTTTGTGTCTATGTTGTGTGGTGCTAGAAATTGGACCCAGGGCTTTCACATGTGGGGTAAGAGCTCTACCCCTGATCTCCATCCCAGATCTTAAAAAGACATATAAAGGCACTTATTTAATTTTACTAGTTTTTGTCTATACGTGGGAAGGTGGCAAGCCAGGAGATTCTTTTGATGATAAGGTTGAGATGTTGGTCCTCACATTTATTATATACCCAACCCTTGTATTTGCCCAGCACCTAAAATGTGACAGACACCAGGTAAGTCCCTGGAAAAACATGTGATAAGCCAAAACTGTGAAACCAGAGGGCCACAAATGATCCCAAATTTACCAATATGATGGGGACTCGGGAAGATGGAAGCAGGCTCTGCCTTGGACCACACATGCTCTATCTTCCCCTCCTGCTCTCTCACAGAGATGTTGCACATACCCTCCTCTCCAGCAGGGCACCTGCACATTCTGTTCCCTCTTCCTCTTTCCTTTCCTCTTCTTATTAGCCATGACCCACCCTTCCTGTGTCAGTCCAAAATTTCTTATGTCAGAGAGATTATTCTTCCCACTTTCCCAGAGTAGCGGTCTTCAGTTATTTTTTTTTTAAGTTTTTAAGCTATTTTCCTTTTAAGTATTGATAATATTGAAGAAGCAGGTGGAGTGAGAAGGGAGGAGAGAAAGTGGATCCGGGCTTTGTTTCCAGACATGGTAGCCATTTGCTACCATGGAAATGGTAAACATTTATTTTTTTTAAATTGGTTCTTTCTAGTAATACGTGACCTAGAATATATTTTGATGTATTATACATATATGAAGCATAATTTCCCGTTCTTGAGGCTGCACATAATGTGGAGTTACACTGGTCGTGTATTCATTAAGATATCCACATAGGAAAGTCATGTCTGATTCATTCTACTGTCTTTCCTATTCCCTTCCCTTTATTCCCCTTTGTCTAATCCAATGAACTTCTCTTCTTTCCTCCTACCTACCTTATTGTGCATTAGCATCAAGAGAGAACATTTGGCCTTTGGTTTTTGGGGACTGGCATATTTCACTGAGCATGCTAGCCTACAATTCCATCCATTTACAGGAATGCAATAATCTCACACTTCTTTATGGCTGAGCAATATTCCATTGTGTATATATACTACATGAAAACATTTATTTTTAAAACTACATTTCTCTTTTAATATTCTCAGGTGGTTCGATATATAAAAACTGTGAACAATGAAATAGAATCTGCCACATGTATGTTTTGACAATTAACTTTGCTAATGGTGACACAATGTATATCCACTCAATAGCACAGGTGCATGAGCACTCATAATAGCATATTTCTTCTATTTTATTTTAATGGTGGTATGTTTTCTCATACCCTACCCCAATATGCAGTCCACATGCTTCTAACTCTTGGAGGAATTCACTGAGCAGCAATTTTTTGAACAAAAGAACCATAGGGATATTCATTAAGCAGAAATGCTGTATGAAAGTCAAAAGAGGTAACAGACTTGTTTCATTTATAATGATCTGAATTCCATTCTTGATAGCTGTCCCATTTTAATAGTAAAATTGATTCATGATAGCAATGAAAGACAAATTTATTTTGATGTTTAGAAAATACATTTATGTGTATCAAATGCTCATCATATATTCCAGAAACCACAGTAGAAAAGCCTGTGTGTATCACCTCATTTATTTTAACTATTCCATTTTACTTTTCACCTCCTATTGCAAAAGTGAGGGATTTTCAGCTCAGAGATTCAAGAACATTTCTCAAGGTCATGCAGATGATAAGTTGGTGGACCAATATTTTATGCTTAGAAGTGTGATTCAAGAGAAGAAATTCTGAATCACATTTCTAATCTGGATCTTGGGAGAGTTACATATTCAAAATAATTATCATGGGAAAAGATATCAATGAAAGTATCAATAATTAATAATAACAACTATCATTTCTTGAAATTCTAGTGTGCACAAGGCATTTTAAAACCTTACAACAAATGTAACAATCATCATCATCACACTTTTAGAAAGAAAACAAAACACTGAGAATTACCTTGCACATGCTTGGGAAGTGTCAAGTCATAGGATAAAGGCTTTTTGAGTTCAAAATGCATGCTTAATCACTATTATAGAGCTATTGGAATAAACGTGTGAGGATTTCCAAAGAAAAGATATGAAATGTTTTCAATTATTTTGGACAGTTCCAAAGAAGACCTTATGTAGGGCTATCAATTCAAAAGAAAAACCCAAAGTAGTATCCTAATGATAAAAGAGAGATTCATGTTAAAGTAATGAAAATGGGAATAACTATACACACTTAAAATGGAAATGCATTGCCCATTACTTGAATGGATCATTGTCTTTGGCAGGGAATCAACAGGGATAAAGGTACTTACTCCATCCAAGGGTGAAAAGGTAAAGTGACAACTGCCTGAGGTGCCACCTGGGTGTTCCTGGAGCTCTGCTCTTGCCCCATCTGCAGCAGATATATGAATGACATGGAAGCAGAGAACCACACAGGAATATCACAGTTCCTCCTCCTGGGCCTCTCAGAGGACCCAGACCTGCAGTCCCTTCTCTTTGGACTGTTCCTGCTAATGTACCTGGTCACAGTGCTTGGGAAGCTGCTCATCATCCTGGCCGTCAGCTCTGACTCCCACCTCCACACCCCCATGTACTTCTTCCTCTTCAACCTGGCCTTTGTGGACATCTCTTTCACCTCCACTATGGTCCCTAAGATGCTGGTGAACATCCAGGCACACAGAAAAGACATCTCTTATACAGGCTGCCTTACTCAGGTGTATTTTTTTATGATTTTTGCTGGTATGGATAAATTCCTTCCTACCGTGATGGCCTATGACCACTTTGTGGCCATCTGCCACCCCCTGAACTATACGATCATCATGAACCCCAGGCTGTGTGTCCTCTTGGTTCTGACATCTTGGTTCATCATTTTCTGGGTCTCTCTGCTTCATCTTTTACTGATAATGCGTTTGACCTTCTCTGTACACACAGAAATCCTAAATTTCTTCTGTGACCTGTCTCCCCTTCTCAAGGTGGCCAGCTCTGATACCCACATCAACAACATCATCCTGATCATCCTGTATGTAGCAACTGCCCTGCTGAGTGTGTTTCCTGTCACTGGGATCCTCTACTCTTATTCTCAGATTGTCTCCTCTTTAATGAGGATATCTTCCAATGGGAGTAAGTATAAAGCCTTTTCCACCTGTGGGTCTCACCTCTGTGTGGTCTCCTTGTACTATGGGACAAGTCTTGTGGAATACCTCAGCTTTATTCTGACCCAATCTTCCCAAGGAAGCACAATTGCCTCAGTGATGTACACTGTGGTCACCCCCATGCTGAACCCCTTCATCTACAGCCTGAGGAACAAAGATGTGAAGGGGGCCCTGGGGAGACTCCTCAGCAGAGCAGCCTCTTGTCATTAATAGAACAGTGACCTCGGTGCAAAGTGGACCTCGTGCTCCTAAGGCAAATGCTGAGTTTCAACATCTTAGATCTTTTTCTTTCCTAAGACACATGCTTCATTTTTTTTTATTCAGAGGCAATTGAGAGTGACACTTTTTTTTTATTGGTTGTTCAAAACATTAAAAAGCTATTGACATATCATATTTCATACATTAGATTCAAGTTGGTTATGAACTCCCAATTTTACCCCAAATACAGATTGCAGAATCACATCGGTTACACATCCACATTTTTACATAATGCCCTATTAGTAACTGTTGTATTCTGCTACCTTTCCTATCCTCTACTATCCCCCCTCCCTCCCCTCCCATCTTCTCTCTCTACCCCATCCACTGTAATTCATTTCTCTCCTTGTTTATTTTCCCATTCCCCTCACAACCTCTTATGTGTAATTTTGTATAACAATGAGGCACTCCCTCCATTACCATGCAATTTCCCTTTTCTCTCCCTTTCCATCCCACCTCATGTATCTGTTTAATGTTAATCTTTTCTTCCTGCTCTTCCTCCCTGCTCTGTTCTTAGTTGCTCTCATTATATCAAAGAAGACATTTGGTATTTGTTTTTTAGGGATTGGCTAGCTTCACTAAGCATAATCTGCTCTAGTGCCATCCATTTCCCTGCAAATTCTATGATTTTGTCATTTTTTAGTGCTGCATAATACTCCATGTTGTATAAATGCCACATTTTTTTTATCCATTCATCTATTGAAGGGCATCTGGGTTGGTTCCACAGTCTAGCAATTGTGAATTGTGCTGCTATGAACATCAATGTAGCAGTATCCCTGTAGTACGCTCTTTTAAGGTCTTCAGGGAATAGTCCAAGAAGGGCAATAGCTGGGTCAAATGGTGGTTCCATTCCCAGCTTTCCCAGGAATCTCCATACTGCTTTCCAGATTGGCCACACCAGTTTGCAGTTCCACCAGCAATGTACAAGAGTACCCTTTTCCCCACATCCTCTCCAGCACTTGTTGTTGTTTGACTTCATAATGGCTGCCAATCTTACTGGAGTGAGATGGTATCTTAGGGTGTTTTTGATTTGCATTTCTCTGACTGCTAGAGATGGTGAGCATTTTTTCATGTACTTGTTGATTGATTGTATGTCCTCCTCTGAGAAGTGTCTGTTCAGGTCTTTGGCCCATTTGTTGATTGGGTTATTTGTTTTCTTATTGTTTAATTTTTTGAGTTTTTCGTATACTCTGGATATTAGGGCTCTATCTGAAGTGTGAGGTTTTTCTTGTGGTTTTTAACCAGCCTTTCTGAGTTGGCTAGGCTCTTTTCAAGATGATATATTTTGTCTTCATTATCTGATGTTCTGGCTTCTACTTGCTCCACTCTGTTGGTGATACTCTCAATTGAGTTTTTAATTTGGTTTATCATTTCTTTCATTTCTAGAATTATTGTTTGGTTTTTTTTTTTTTTATAATCTCTATCTCCTGATAAAGATGCTTAACTTCTTCTTTTACCTGCTTATGTAATTCATTTTCAAAGTGTTCTTTCACTGTTTGGATTTGCTGTTTCGTATCTTCTTTAAGGTTCCATTCCATTTGTCTAAGGTATTCCTTGAGTTCTTTATATGACCATTTTTCTGCTGACTCTAGGTCCTCCTGAATATTTAGGCTGTCCTTCATTGTTTGTACTCCTTTTCTTCCTTGCTTTTTTATGCTGCTCATGTTACTTCTTGTTCTGTTTGACTGCTGAGTTTCTGTTTACTCTTATAGATTTATTTGATGCTTGGGAGGAAAGATATTAGAAGGGAAGGGAAGAAGTCACTAAAGAGAATGAGAGTAGGCAGGTAGAATTCAAGGAAGGGGGAATAAGAAAATTGAAAAGAAATGAAAAGACAAAAGAAACAAAAATAACAAAGATTAGATAATAAAGAAAGAAAGAAAAGACGAGAAAAAAAGAATTTAACAAAATTAATAATGATAATAAAAAAATTAAAATTAAAATTAAAAAAATAATAATAAGATAAAAAAATTAGAAACATTGAAAAAAAGTTAAAGAACAACAACAAATAAAAATTGAAAATGAAAGAAAAAGAAGAAAAAAAAAATGATAATAATAATAATAATAAATGCAGTCCTAGAGTTCTATTAACTTCTCTTCCAGTAGGTGGAGCTGTGCCCACTGGGCCAAGCTTCTCCTATCAATAGGTGGGAACCATTCACTGTGCAGCAGCTCTTTCTCCTAGACTGGGCGGGTCTCCAATCCTGAGTGTCTAGGGCCTTGTCTTGTGTTTCCTCAAGCCAGGCCATGCTCACCTGTGGCGCTCACCACAATACTGGCTACACACCAGGTCTGCTGCTCCTGGGAGCCCTGTTTTCATGAACTCCTGGGCTCACTCTCCCTGTTTGCCTCCCTCAGACCCTAAGTTTGTAGAGCTTGGGGCTGAGATCCCCCAGCGAATTTGCTTGCCCTCCTGTAGCCACGCCCCCGGTAGCTGGTGCAAGAGACCTCAGTTGTCAGCACTGGTGGGAGCGGTAGCCGGGAGTTCCGCGCCGCGAGTCCCGCGCCACTCCTGATTCCCTCGGTCTGGTTATTGCATTCACAGGAGAGCTGGGAGTGGCCCTTAAGGTTTCCCCGCTGTGTGGAGAGAGATGACTAGGGGATTACACACCTGTTGTGCTGGTTTCAATGCAGTTATCTCCTCCGCCCGTGACGCCATTTCTCTGCCATGGTGGTTTCCCATGCAAATGGTGACCGTTCGTTCCCTTTGCCAGGTGACCAATGCAACGGGTGGGTCCTGACTGTCTCTCCCAATCCCCGTTTCAGTCCTGTGGCCACTGCCTATGAAGGCTCGGTTGGCTTTTACCTCTGTAAGTTCCTAAGGGCCGACCAATTATTTCAGTGGGATCGTTAGTGCTGAGTCACACGAAGCAGGTGAACCGAAGCTTAATTGCCTCCGATTCGGGCTCTGTGTGTGTGTTCTGAGGGGCCCAGCCTGTACACCCCAGATCCACATCAGCTCAGCATTGCCTAGTGATCCTGAGCAAACAGCATTTAGACATTTTACGGCTCCCTATGCCCGCGCAGTTGAAGATGTCGGAGACTTGATCTCTCTGCGCCTGCCACCATGTTAGATCTCCTCAATGATATTCATGTTGCCCTTACAGCTTCCTGGCATAAGCAAGTTCTTGGGATTATACAAACTGCTGCTTCTGTTTCCAGTCCAGATTTCTAGAAATGAAACCCTGCCGCCGTCGCCTCCGTCTCTGGGCCGTGCTGACGGGCGCTGCGCTCGTCTGCGACCGTAGCAGAGCCGCCCTGGCCTCCACGCTCTTCAGCCTGGTGCCCGGCCCCTGGGGCCCAAGCAGCTGCCGCCGCGGCTCTCCGTCCCCCTCCTCCGGAGCACGGGTCCCCTGGCAGGGGGGTGCAGAACGACCCCAGAGCAGGCTCTGCCCAAAGGTGCAGTGGCGAACAGGCCACCGAGGCGCTCGAGGCTGCAGTCCAGCCTTCGGAGGACAGGGCTCGGCACGCAGCCCAGCTCCAACCTCTAGGTGCGGCTGCCGGACAATGTATACAGAGCCATCAAGACAGCAAGCAGAAAGCAAATGGCGGCTCCCGCGGAGTGGATTTTTGGCACAGAAACCACAGCCCCGCCAACAATCCCAATCCACACACTCTCCCTGTATAAAAAATATTCAAAAAAAAAAAAAAAAGAAAAAAAGGCGGGGCGCACTGAGCTTTCTTTGCCTCGGGTACTTACAATCCACTGCTGATTACACATTCAGCTTCTCTGCCCGGAGCGAAGCAAAAGAGGAAGCAGATGGGAGCAAAGCACCCGCGGCTATGAGCAGCCAAGCGTCCGGGAGCCAAGCATCTCTTTTTCAATCTCTTTGTTCTTCCTGCTGCTTGGCAAAGTGGTCCACTACAGATTAACGGTGAAAGGAGCTCTAACAGACTGTGCGAAATCTCTATTAAAGCCGCTGTTCTGAGCACCACGCTCAGCACTTCAGCAACCCCCGTACGCAGCGGCCATCTTCCTCGAGAGTGACATTTGTATATATGATTTTGTTTTGTTTCTCCTCAACAACTCTAAGTAATTCCTTTTGGATATTTCTTACTTATATTTAGTCCTTAAAGTTTCATCTTTTATCAGTTTGTTACAACTAATCCTAGTATTTCTACCTTGATGTTTAAAGCACTTATCATATTATGTGCAGACATGGATTACTCAAAATTTATCTTCTTAATGACATAAGTGATATCACTACAAAGAAATGATAAATATTAAGGTAAAGGATATTATCCTGGTTTGATCATCCCACAATGTATGCATGTATAAAAACATCACCTTGTTCTCTCTTCTGTTTTCATGAAATTCCCCCAATCTTTCTTTTCCTTTTTTTTTAACCTTTAGCTTCCATAGATGAGGGAAAACCTTCAGCCCTTGAATTTCTGAGTGTAACTTATTTCCCTTAACATAAATTTCTCAAGTTCCACACATTTTTCCTGCAAATGACATGATTTCATTCTTCTTTATGGCTCAATAAAACTCTATTGTCCCTAAATATCTCATTTTCTTTATCCATTGATCCATTGATGGACACATAGACTGGTTCCATAATTTGCCTATTGTGTGTTAGGCTGGTATAAACAGCCATGTATCACTGAAGTATGATGACTTTAATTCTGAGGAAAGGGACCCAGGGGACAGAAGACAGGAGGGAAAAGAGAAATCCTGGGGAATGATATTGGCCAAGTTATATTGCTATACTCTGTGTATGTACAAATATGTAACAATGAATCTCACCATTATGACAATGCTTCAATAAAATATAGAAAAGATCACAATTCTCCCCATAAATGTATATACTCACTATGTGCCCATTAAAATAAAATATAACTGAAAAATTAGCTGTTAATGTTAATGCTGTTCTCCTTAACTTGATTGTTTTCTCATTTTCACTGGATGAAATAGAATGAAAATCCTACAGTAGTAAAGGCAAATTGATTGCCAT